CCCGCTGCAATGTGTAAAAAGTCTGTATCTGTATGAATGTGTAAAGAAAGTGTTCTTCCACCTCCTCCTCACAACATCTGACTACCCGGCATAATTGGTGTCTGCTCCATTTTCATTTTTTATGGTACAGTACGGTTATTTTATGCTGCGGAACGAATTATATGTTTTAACATGTATTTCTATGGGAAAATGCGTTTCGTATAACGGACGTTTCACTTAACGGACGTGCACCTGGAACGGATTAAGTACGTTGTACGAGGCACCACTGTATATGTATGTATGCTGAAAAAATTGCGCATTTTCAATATTTTGCAAACAGTATGCATTTTAGCTTTACATTTTTAAAGTTAAACAAGAAATTTCAATTTTAATAATAGAAAGATAGTTCATAATATCTTCAATAAAAACATGTCAATAATATTAAATGTGATTCTGATTATCCTAATGTAAATTATCAATGTTTTATAAATATAGATATTTTACCATTTAAAATTAAAAATTAGAATTTCTTAAAATATTTTTTTAAATTGTAATTAATCATTCAAATTAATAATCTATTTCAGATTAAGAACAAATTCTGTAGTTATTCATAAAATGTTTATTACTTTGTTATCCTTCTTTAATTAAAAATGCAAAAGTTGAAATGATCTGAATTGTTATCAGAAAAATGTTTATGTTAGAAGCTAGAATTTTATCAGTCCATCTCATAAATGGTCTATAGCAGTTTTTCTCAACTGCTAATCCTTACACTGGCACATAGCCTTGGAAAATTTCTAATGTTTATGAAAATTACAACTCAAAGAAATTGTTTAATAAAATAAGATAATTTAGATGAAAATAGACATTTTATGATAAACAGATATTTTTACTGTTAAAATGATGCAAGAAATTGATTACCTGATGGTCTTGATCAAACTCTTCTAATCATTTCTTTAGCTTTAAAAATCAAAAAATTGTTCAATGAGAAATAACTATAAGGATCATTCAATAGATAAGATAGCTTTCTGTGGTATAATAAGCATCAAAATGCACTCAAATATTTAAGAAGCCAGAAAAAACACTTCAACAGCTGAAATCTTTCACCTATTGTACGATTTTTTTTTTCTGGCTTCTTATATATTTAAATATATTTTCATCAACATACTAATTATTATTGATTTAACAATCATACTAATTACTCTTTGTAGCAATAATGTTTGTTGAATTATTTATTTTAAAAATTCTATTTTTCATTTTGCTACTAAAGTTTTTTAATTCTTTTAATGAATAAAAAATTTATGTAAAAAAATTATGCTTTTTATTGGTTCCTGATAGAAAATTTAAATTATCCACTAATGCTTAATTAATTAATAAAGATCTGCCTGAGTTTGTGTTTTTTCATAAGTTTTAATTCAACAGAAAATATTTAAATTTAAAAATTTTTTAAAAACCAATGCTTCAAATAATAAAATATAAACCAACTGCTTAATTGAAGAACTAGGAGGAGGGAAAAAATATCTAGCTTTTCTGTATTATGCTTCTATAACATGATATTTATTTAATAAATAATTATTTAAATAATTTTTAATTTATTATTTTTGATATATTTCTGTCAATGTTTCATATTCTTAAAAAAGTTTAAATTTTTTTATGACACTTGAAGACGGCTGATTAGTTAAAAATGTTTATGCTTGTTCTTCATTCCCTCTAATGCTTAAATTAAGCAATCAGTTTAAATTTAGATATTTCATTTTTCTAAGTAAAATTTTATTGTGTATATTAGAACTAAAAAATTTTACTCATCTAATTTAGATAATATGTATATTCTCTAAATCAATGATGAGCAACCTTTTCAGGATGCAAGTGCTAAGTGAACTTTGTAAGTTTTCAGTATGCCACATATAATTTTTTCTACAAAGCTGCAGGCAGACTTTCAAACCTGCTGAGTCCAGCATCTTCAATAATCACAGTACACTAGGCTATGCTAATGCACAGTTCACAGTATATGCTAATGATGTGCAAACTAGTAATATATAGTATATTCTCATGTTTTTATTGATCAAGTTTAGTTTCAATGTTCATCATCAACAAATATTAATTTATTTATGGTTGTGTAATATAAAGATATGCAACTCATTGCTAGATTTTTTTAAATTACATTCAAAAGTAATTTTTTAAAATTATTCAGTCTTTTTTAAAAATTTTCTCAATGTCAAAGGTGCAATATCAAATTTCCCTGAGCTTGGCAGGCGTTTTTATCTAAATGTACTTAAATCAATAATTTTTTGATAATTGCCTCCATGTGCTTAATATTTATTATATGTTCTTTTACATTTCAATGAATAACTTTATTTAAATTTATAAATCTCAAATTACAACATAAGAAATTTAAATAACCTCAAAGAAACTTTAAATTGTTCTATTTTGGAATACAGCATAACTTCTTCTAATTGGAATGGCTTCTAACCTGAATAAAGTCTATAAATCAAGCTGAAAACTTTCATTAGAACTATAAAGTGCTGGAAACATATAAAAAGGTGTTTGTTATATATAATGTATTAATTTGGTATAAATTTCAAAATAATTTCTGATAAATGTATTTGAAAGAAATAGTTTCACAATTTTAATAAAATATATAAAATTTAAAATGACTACAATTATGATTACTATTTGAATCACAGTTTTGTTAATTTATTGGTTAATTACTAATATGGAGTGACATTTAAATTAAAAAATAGTCTAAATTCAAACAGAAAACATTATTATAATTTGTTGTTATCTACTTGATCAGTAAAATATAAATAAGAACTTGCATTTAATTAAATTTTAAAATATTCTTAAAATTTTAAACACATTTTTTATATAACTTTTATATTATTATTAACTTTCATAAATGGTTGTCTCCTGATGCTGTAAGATAGTCTACCGAAAGAATACATTGGATTAATCCAATGTATTCTTTCAGTAGACTATCTTACAGCATCAAGTTAATGAATTCTTTTATTATATTTTTACATATGCATTTCGAACTAGTTTCATATTTCCAGTTCCTCTTCAGTGCTCTATAAATTACAATTATAGATATTAAGTTGACAAAAATTTATACAGATTAAAAATTAACAAAGTATTTAGATGTTAAGTAACACAACATAAATTATTTTAAGGATTTTAAGGATACCTTTAAGGATTTTACACATTTCTTTTTATCCTCAGTTGGATTGTTATGAATCGCAGTATGACTTAACAATTGCTATAATCAATAATAACACAATCGTAAAAATCTTAAAATTTAGTGACACACAAGTAGTTTAAAACCTATATAAAGTTTTCAAAGAAAGAATACATCGGATTAAAGAGACAACCATTCACAAACAATTATACAGCTATAACCAGTAAATTTAACTTTCATAAGTTAATAATAATTCAGAAAATTTAAAATTTTCATTTAATTTATTCATAATTTCAGAATTTACAAATCAAACTGAAAGAAAATCATTTTACTGTTTAACTAAAATATATCTAAGACAACTAAACCTCGAAAAACTTTTAATATGCAGCTGTTTTATTATCTATTTGAATGCTTTCAGTCATTTTTAATGACTTTTTCAAGAACAAAAATTGAATGCTTCCAATCTGTATACAATGAAATTTGTTTTGGAATGTTTTTAAATTTGAACTTTCTAGTGCACAATCTCATAAATATACAATTACAATATATATGCTATAATATCATGTACAAACATACACATAAAGTAGATACAAACATAATAAATGAATAATAATAAATAAATACATAAATAAAGTAACATAACTGAAAATATAAAAAGGCCACAATTGTGTCAATTTTGCCTTACTAATATATTTATATTATGCCCGTTCTCCATGCCACTGAGATTTTACTTGATTCTCTTCTACTTAATACGCAATAATAACATGTACAAACATACCTTATGTGCATGTTTGTACATGTTATTATAGCATATATATTGTAATTTTATATTTATGAGAGTGTGCACTAGAAAGTTCAAATTTAAAAACATTCCAAAACAAATTTCATTGTATACAAATTTATGTATGTTTCTTTACGAGCTTTGTAAAGAAACATACATAAAAATAACTTTGAATATTCTTTACTTTATAAATCTTAAAACAATGTCAAATAGCTCCCTACTAGTGGCTAATGGATAGAATCATTATAAGTGTTATACAATATTTTGGTGTGTAGCATTTACGAGCTAAACTGCCAGATGTTGGTGCTCTGTAAAGTGCAAGCATAAATGCCTGTAATCTGGTTGCTTTACACAATTCAGATATTTTTACCATAGAAGCTGTCCCATATTTATATTTTAGAAAATACAAGGGAAGCAGCATTTCCACAGCTTCCATGGACAGCACACCACCGCTGTAATCAACTTTACAATAAAAATGCTTCAAATATTTTTAAAACACTATGTAATAAAAAAATGGCAGTTTCATTTTAAAAGTCAAATAACTAATTTTAAAAATCATTTACATTATTTCATTTACTGTTTATAGAAAAGCATAACTTGCATCTAGAGAAGCAAATACAAACTCTGAATTGATTAATTTTGATAGCTACAATCTTAAATTTTCCAAATAAATCATTTTTTAATATATAAACATCTCAAAACTGATAATTATGTTAAAGCCAAGCAATTGCCAAATTAATAAATATTAATTTAATTATATTAAATTTAATAAGAAATGGCACGTAATGCCTATCTCTAGTGCCAAATTACTATTTAATTATTAATAGTAGCTGTATTGTAGCCTGAGTTAATACAGCAATTATTTACTTTCATTTTTTTTAAATAAAAATTTAAAATTTACTTATATAATAACCACCAATGCATAAAAAAAAACTAAACTAGGTAGGTTACATGTAAATAAGCTACTTTTTAACTGAAGTACCAGAAGAAAAGACAAATATGCAAATATGTTTAGCTAATTTGCCATCTGCCTAAAGATGGAAAATTAGATAAACACATTTACAATTTGTTTTTCTTTCTAGTGCTTCAAATTAAAACATTTTATATGCATGCACACATACATGCATTAAAAACTATAAACTTTTTCAAAGAAGCTTGTCATAGTCACTGTAAAAGAATGAAGTAATACTAATAATAATGAACTATTAAATTGATTTAATAAGTGAACACCATATAATTTGTGAGGAAATTTCTTAAAAAACAGATATTCTATATTTTGTATGAAAAACATCAAGCAAAAATAATATATTTCAGTTCTATGGGTTTTATTATAACATAGCTAATAAAATTATCTTGAATTTTCCTTTGGTTTTGAGAAATAACTTCTTGTTTTTTGCACCAAACAATAAAGAACAAGACCTTTATTTTTAAATGAAAGATTAAAAAATATAACATTTTGAACCTCTGATAAATGAACATTTTAAATGAAAAAAAAAAACTAATGCTGCCACTAGGATATCTTGCGCCTGCACCCAAGTCCTATTTTTTGCAGCCTTTACAAAGTGCAAATATACCACAAATTCTTACTTTTTGATTGCCATCAAAACCCTTTTGAAATGAGTTTGGATGATATAAACGTCTGGCAATATTGTTATTTACTAGTCCGTGCAAGTTTATTCTTCTCTGGAAAAGAAATTCACCATCAGGAACATTTTTCATATGTTTATCATGCAATACTATATAGCCATGTTAATACACTGTATTATGTAAGAATTAACACTTAGACCATTGGAGTTTAAATTTTTCTTTTACAACATAATATTTTGTTCCATTTTTGTCATTTCATAATTCAAATCGGGCACTAAATTAGGAATGTCTTTTAGCATCCCCCTTGACAATGGCACCCATATGTGTGCACACCCTGCCAGGTCCACTTGCAATGGCCCTGAAAAGAACCATGCATTGTAAATAAACTGACCAGACATCCTCCTTTCAGAAAACAGTCTT